AAAGCAGGGGCCTAAAGGCAAGACTGAGAGACCAGTCTTTTTTTTTTTTTTTTTTTTTTTTTTTTTTTTTTAAGATTTATTTATTTATTATGTACACAGTGTTCTGCCTACATGGATGCTTGCAGGCCAGAAGAGGGCACCAGATCTCATTATGGATGGTTGTGAGCCACCATGTGGTTGCTGGGAATTGAACTCGGGACCTCTGGAAGAGCAGCCAGTGCTCTTAACCTCTGAGCCATCTCTCCAGCCCCGAGAGACCAGTCTTAAAAGGGACAGCAATGGCAATACCCACAAGGCTCGGGGAACACGGAGGAAGAGGATGGGGAAAAGAGCTGTGAAATGGTGTCCTCTGAGCGTGTCATGGCCATTGCATGCACACACACACACGGACTCACAGCAGCAGTGGTCACCTGTACATGGAGCAGACAAGATTAGTCAAAACCAAGCAGGCAGTACTGATTGGATTCAGTGAATCATGGAGGACAGAGAAGAAGGGTGGGGCAGGATGTGTTGGGGGGAGGGGGGGAAGCAGTTGGGATTGGCGTGATCAAGATACACTGTATTCATGCATGAAACTGTCGAAGAATGAAAGATGTTATAAAGAGTGGGGGACAGTTTTGGAAGCCCTGGGGAGTGCCCTGCACTGGCCTATAGCCTTGACCTCAGTGGGCCCTGAACAACTGGCCTCTCCCCCAGGCTCGGCTTGCCCAGGTGGTAACTGAAGGTCATGTCTAGGTGACTAGCCATCTTGACTTATCCCGGCGTGAGAGGGTTCCCAGGATGGAGGATCTTCAACGCTAAAACTGGCATGGCGAGAGGCAAGTAGGGACAAGTCAGGGCCTTGTTTCATCTTGCCAGCACCCTCTGAAAGGTTTGGCAAAGGCAGATCCTAATAACTCAGTGTGACGGTTCTAGAAGGTAGGACTCTCAGTGAAGGCAGCTAGCCCCTGCTTCAGCTCTTCTGAGACGGATGAGGCAGCAAGGGTTAATGTGTTAATTCCTGGCTTGTCTGCCGCTTGCTCTCTCTCTCCCCTCTGTACACACACACACACACACACACACACACACACACACACACACACAGGTGCACAAGGCCCCCAGCATCTCTCAGTCCACGGAGAGGCGCGTTGGCCGGGGCCCATCTCTCCCATGCACAGCCCACTGTCACTTTTAAGCGACATAATCCTCAAGAAATTCCAAAGCCTTTAATTACACACAGGGTGCATGGCAATCTCTCATCTCTCCCTCCCCACCCCAGGAGACAAAAAGGAAATTTCACACCCTACTGAACCCAGCTCCTCTTGTTCCCTTTGATGCCAGCCTGGGGTTAAGAAGCAGAGACGGGCCCTGCTTGCCTTCTCCGGGTCCTGATTTCCTCCACCGATGTTGAGATTCAGAGCATGCATCTTAAAGATGATAATCAGGGTGTTCGGTGCCGTCTTCCATGCCGATGAGTGCCCCCCTCCCGCCCCCTCTGGCATCCGCACTGCGGCGCCCGGCACTCTGCGGCCAGCCACCTTCCACACCCAGTCACACCTCAGACTGGCCCCCTTGGGAGGTGTGGGTGGGGGAAGGGCCAACGTTGTTCAGGCCGGTGCCTAGTCCTGTCCCTGGAGAGCTATGTGGCTTGGTGTTGCTTTCTTTCCCTCTCTGGTCATGGGCTTACCCATCCACAATGTGAAGGAGTCTCCTAGGCATGGCGGCCCATGACGGTAATCCCAGTTCTTGGGAGGTGGAGGCAGGAGGTCCTCACTAAGGAGATACCCATGGTCAATTGACCTGGGGTTCTCTGGTTCCCAGTCACCCCAGCCCCCCTCACTCCAGCACCACACAAGCTGGGAGCAGAATGGGGGAAGAAGGCAAATGATGCTTGTTCCTGTAGGGAGGTCCTGGGGCATATAATGTCCCAGCTGATCCCCCATCGGATGACTTTGAGGCTTGCTCTGTGTGGGCCCTGGATGGGTGAGATGTAGCAGAATTGAGCCTGAAGCATAGCCTCCCTCCCAATCCTGCCTCTGCGCCTCAAGATCACCCTACAAACCCCGGGGCCAAGTTCTTGCGAGGCAAACACTACCGATGTGCCCCACCCCTTGGCCCTTGCCGCAGGGTGCTTCATAAACACCATCTTCACTCTTTGTAACAACATTCCAAGTTTATCCCCAAGTCACAGGACTATGGAGGCCAAATGCCACGGAGCTCTGGAGTGACCCAGACAGCAGGCCCTGTCTCCCTCTGCCTCTGCCTTCGCCGCCTCCTCCTCGACTGGAAGAGACTGCTCCGCTGGGTGCCTTCCTGCAGAGCTGTGGGAGCAGCTACTTAACTCCAGGCAGGGACCAGGGCCATGGAGCTGGGCCATATGGGAAATATCCTCTTCTTCAGTCACTCGGAACCTTCCAGAACCCTTGTGGGGTACACCCCTGGTCAGGGCAATCAGACATTTGACAGTATAACTCGGCTTAAGTGCCAATATGTGGAGACCACTGGGGAAAAGAGGCCTCCCAAGGTGCCAGGGATGGGCTGAGACTCTGCCTGTCCCCCAAAAGGGTGCAGTGCCCTCCTAGGCCCCAGCTGAGCCTCCCCTTGGCTCCTGGAAATGTGTGCTGAGGGCAAGTGTGATGGACCATCTGCCTAAGCCTGGGGAGCCACACTTCCTGCCGTCCCCGCAGCAGAGACCTCACTTCAGACTGAGGCTGAGCACAGTCCTTGGCGGTTTTATTCTTACCAACGGCTTTTATATAGGCACGGTTCCAAACCCACGCGAGCCTTCCACTCTCCCTGGAGACACCCGCCGCTGGTGCTGATTGAATGAGTCCTACTGCGCGGGGTATCGCTCAGTGGTAGAGTGCAGCCCGCGATGGATCCCTCTAGAGATGTTCCACACATCCGGGAGCACACAGGTGCCAGCACTCAGACTCCCTCTTCTTCTTTTCTGGGATAGTATATCTTTCTATTCGAACGTATGTGGGAGCCCCCTCATTCCTCTTTATGGCTATATAGTATTCCACTGTGTCTCTGTCTCACTGTGATGTAAGTATCCACAGCGGGCAGAGAATTTAAGTTATTCCCAATCTTTACTTATACAAAGTATAAGTCTTTATACTTGGAAATGTCTCTCTAAGAAGAAAAATCCCCTAAACTATGTGTCTATAGTTAGAACTGCTGAGACAAAGAGTATTCACAGCCGTGACTCCGAAAGATGTGGATTAATTATGCTCACTCTAGCTGTGTATCACCCTGAGGGACAACCCAGTTTCATGTAGGAAGGATGCGACTGACTTCAGTCTCACGACCTGCCCCCTCCCAAAGATGGGGAGAATTGCTGTCCTTAACCAAGGAGAACCCGAGATTCGCTTTTGCCCAGCGAGCCCTTCCGCTGAACATTTCATCCCGTGTCGGGCTGTGGGCGGGCTACCTGCCTCACGTTCATCTCGATTTACCCTCCACACTAACGCCACCGTGAGGGAGGCATCTGCGGTCGCCGCTTCACTTCACGGGTGAGCCGGGGGTCCCCAGGGGTCAAGCAGCGTTCCCAGCACCACACAGACAACAAGTGTGCAATTCCTCAGTGTGTTTGCAGAGCCCGGGCTACCCCTGCTTCCTTCTTAGGACTTCCGCCTTCGCCTTGTGCGTGTTTCCTCTGGGGAGGAAACCAAGTCCCCTTCTTGTATTAGGCCCACAACTGAGCAGTCAGAGATGAGTGGAAAGTCAGAACTGGGGAGGACCATGAAAGGTTTTTCAAAGATATTGTCTGGAGCTGGTAGGATGGCTCAGTGGGTAAAGGTGCTTGCAGCCAAGCCTGGTGATCTGAGTTCAATCCCCAGGACCCACAGGTTGGAAGAAGAACTGACTTGAAAGTTGTCCTCTGATTTCTACATGCACACTATGGCACACATGTACGTGTCTGTCTGTCTGTCTGTCTGTCTTCCTCCCTCCCTCCCTCCCTCTCTCTCTCTCTCTCTCTCTCTCTCTCTCTCTCTCTCTCTCACACACACACACACACACACACACACACACACACACACACACACACACAAATAAATGTAATTAAAAAGAAAATTTTAAAGAGAAATTTCCTGCCCTGGGGCACACAGAAAGGTGACGAGGGCCATGCATGGTTCTGGTTGCCCTGTGCTTGCAAGAGGAAAGGAGGTAGATGTCAGCTGTCCTACCTCTCACGGAAGGTCTCATACAAGAAAGACTTATTCTTCCCCAAAGGCCCACAGCGCCCCCTATTGAGCAACTCCAGAATCCTCTCACGGTTATTGGGAAAGATCAGGCCCACAGCGCCCCCTATTGAGCAACTCCAGAATCCTCTCACGGTTATTGGGAAAGATCAGGAAGAGCCCTGGAGACGGGACCAGCAGGGGCTGGTTCTGGGCCAAGGCTGCTGACCCTGGCTGGACCAGAGGCTGACCTCTGCTTGCTGCTGCCTCTTGCACAGGTGTGAAACAAAGGGAACTAGACCCACCCAGTGTGCTGGTGGAGGAGACAGGGCTGTTTGCGAAGCACCTGCTGTATACTCATAACCTTCTGGGTTCCATGGTAGTGTAATTCTGCTGTAGAGGAGGCCGGGAGCTCCAGTTGGAGAGCAAGGGGTTAAGTGGGGCGGATGTGGGGAGAAGGCTGACATCCCAGCAGAGAGCTCTTGTTGACTCCAGGGAGCTACCAGGTCGGCCACAGGGTCTCGAGGCACGGTTTGCCTGACTGGTCCCTTGTACGTTTAGGAAGCTGATTCTGTTCACAATACTTTACCCAGGCTGTTCCCTGCCCACACTGCCTTTCTAGGAACTGTGGAGACCCCAAGTCCTGCAGCTCACAGCTCCCTGTGAGGCTCCCCCATCCCCAGATTACACCCCCAGTTATACAGCGATCCCTAGAGGCAGGGGCTGGGTCATATCTTTGCATCCCCAAGTTCTACTACTCCAGTGTCAGACATTTGGATGAATGGAGGATGTCTTAGGGTTTCTATTGCCGTGAAGAGACACCATGACCACGACAACTCTTATAAAAGAAAACATTTAATTTGAGTGGCTTACAGTTTCAAAGGTTTAGTCCATCATTATCATGGTGCAACATGGTGGCATGCAGACAGACATGGTGCTGGAGAAGGAGCTGAGAGTCCCACATCTTGACCTACAGGCAACAGAAAGTGGTCTGAGTGTCACACTGAGTGAAGCTTGAGCAAAGGAGACCCCAAAGCCCGCCCCAACAGTGACAGACTTCCTCCAACAAGGCCACACCTCCTAATAATGCCACTCCCTATGAGCTTATGGAAGCCAGTTACATTCAAACTACCACAGACGGATAATAGAATGAAATGATGGATAGATATATAGATAGGTAGGTGTGGGTGGGTAGGTAGGTGAATGGATGGGGTGAAGGATGATGGATGGATGGATGGATAGATGGATGGGTAGGGGAATAGGTAGAGGGATGGGATGGAATGGAGGGAGGGAGGGATAAGGTGGATGGATAGGTGTGTGAATGGGTTGGTAGGTACATGGCTGGAATGGGATAAATTGGTGAGTGGATAGATGGGTGGGTGGATGGGATGGGTAGATAGATGGAGGGATGAGATGAGTGGATGGATAGATGGAATGATGGAGTGACTAAGGCTTGTCTGAGCAGTGGTAGTGGGAGGGAAAGGAAGTGTGAGGGCAAGCTAAAGGAAAGAGGACGTGGCTGCTCAGCTCACTGGCTGTGGCTCCATAAGGAAGTGCATTATTGACCCCATTTACAGACAAGGAAACTAAGGCTCAGAGAGACAAAGAATGTAGTGAGTTCTCCACATCCCACGGCTGCTAAATGGCAGAACCAGCCCTTGAACCTAGACAGTCTAGCTCTGGATCTAGGTGTTCCTTGTATATGACTCAAGCCAAGGATAAAGTCCAAGCCGTTTGCCCTGGGAGCCACGGTAAGGAGGTGGCTCCAAACTGCTGACCTCCAGTCTCTTGTTTCAGCCCCGCCTACTCACCTCCTCCCGTTCATGGCTTGGATAGCTCAGCCCAGAACCCCCACCAGCTGCTTCCGCCCACACGGAAAGCACCAGCGTCCTCTCCTGGAGACACGCAGAAGTGCAGGCTGACGGCGGGAGACTTCACCCCTCAGCTCCTGCCCTATCCCAGCTGAGTGGACTCCGGGCCGGAAGCCAGCTGCAGCCTGCGATGCCCTCTCTCGGCTGCGCCCCCTCCCTCACCCGAGTCACACTCCACATGCTCAGGTTCCTTTGTGGTGGGTGTTTTGATTAATTTTATTCTAATTAATTCAGTAATCTCAAGCTGTTTGCAAAATCTGCACCAAGCTCTGCTGTGTGATGGATCTGCAGAAAAGGCTGCAGACAAACTCGATCCAGCTCTGAGGTGGAGGGATATCTATATATGTATCACGGCTAGGAAAGTGGGCTGGGATGGCCCAGAGACACTGACTCTGGCTTCTCACTGCCTTTCCCCAAGTGCCCTCTGTGTACCTGCGCTGGGCCTTGATGGCTGGGCTGGAGACCCTGAAGACCTTTTTTTTTTTTAACATTTAGTGTGTGTGTGTGTGTGTGTGTGTGTGTGTGTGTGTGTGTGTGTGTGAGTCAGTGAACAAACTGAGAAAGTCCATTCTCTCCTTCCACCATGGGGGGCCCAGACATTGAATTGAGGCTGGTAAGCTTGGCATCTTTACCCACTAAACCGTCTTGCTGGTTCCTTGGGGCTATCCTGGCGTATTTGGTGACAGGGCCACTCCGAGTCTGACTTTTCTGCCTCTCTGTCTTGATGGAACCACAGGAGCTTCATCTCGCCAACACTAACACCCTCCCCTAGAAAACGGATGTGAAAACTTGCCTGGCCACCCCGCGGGTACCCAGAGCCAGCCCCCTGGAATCCGGGCATAAGCTTAGGAGGTGGTACAGACCCCACAGGAAGGCAGGGTGGTAGAGGACAATACTTGAGAAGCAAACCAGATTTCCTGGGTCTCAGTCCTGACTTCGTGCTAGCTGGGAGCGGTGTGGTACCTCTCTGTAGCTAGCTGGGAGCGGTGTGGTACCTCTCTGTAGCTTAGCTGCCTGCCACCAGCCCCATCACAGATACATAAAGAAATGGAATTGGAACTGTAAGGGCTGGCAAATGCCTTACCGGGTAAAGGCTCTTTCTGCCAAGTATGATGACCAAATCTGAGCTCTGGGACACAGGGTAGTAGACAACCGACGCCCACGAGTTGTCCTCTGACCCCCACGCACACACTGTGGCATGTGTATGCACACACACATTGATCAACATTTTTAAAATGAACCGTTCTAGATGGCGGTACAGGGTATCTATTATTATAGCTAGTCCCGGCGTACACCCCTCTGGTTTTGGAGATAGATACAATGTAGCCCAGCCTCTGCCTCCTGAGTCTTGGAATTATGGAGAGCACTCCCCCATATGCCCTTGGACCTGTACTTCCAATATGGGGATAGTGGGAATTGGAAGTGATGTTCAGATAGCTGTGTGCTCAGAGGCAGCCTGTACACTTAGGACCCTGGGTGAGCACCGCGCACACACACACACACACACACACACACACACACACACACACACCCCTGCCCGCCCCGCAAGCTGCCCCTAGTGTTAATTATCAGAACGCAGAGGCTTCTATGGCTCCCACCCATCTACCCCTCCCCTAGAATTGTGCCATAGCCTGGAGGGAGGGGCATGGGGTCTCCAGCCCAGATCTACATACCACAGGCCCAATGCAATCATGACCAAGTGGCCAGATATCTCCTCACCCCTACTTCTCTGCCTGCACATCCCCTCCTCCTGTCATTCTGAGCCCCAAAAGTCCCCTTCTCTCTCCGTCACAGTCCCTATTCCCACACACTTTTACCCATCCCAGGTGAACTAAATGTGATAAATTTTCTCTTGAAAACCTCAGTAAGTTTCTGGGTAGCATTGCCCATTGGTCTCTCTGAGGTAGGCCTGCACAGTGAGGACCCCGGCTGGGCCTGCTCTCATCCCTATGGGCATGGAGGCAAGTCTGTGATCTCTAACATCAGTCAGAACTTCAAAATTCTTTTTTTTTTTTTTTTGTTTTTTTGAGACAGGGTTTCTCTGTGTAGCTTTGCGCCTTTCCTGGAACTCGCTTTGGAGACCAGGCTGGCCTCGAACTCACAGAGATCCGCCTGGCTCTGCCTCCCGAGTGCTGGGATTAAAGGCGTGCGCCACCACCGCCCGGCTCAAAATTCATTTTTAAAAGTTCACCAGCTGGAGCTGGGTGTGGTGGTGCCTGCCTGAAATCTCAGCACTTGGAAGGTAGAGCAGGGGGAGGATCAGGAGTTCAAGGTCATCCTCTGGTACATAGGGTGTTCAAGGCCAGCCTGGGCTACTCGAGACCTTGTCTCACAACAATAAATAAGGCGTGGTGGCACACACCTGTAATCACAGGACTCAGGAGGCTGAGGCGTGTAGCCCTCCTTGAGTCAACTTCCAAGGCAGCCAGAACTACATAGTGAGAGCCTGTCTCAAAAACGCAAAGGCATGTAAATAAATAATAACAAAATGAAGAATGAACAAGTAAATTCTCTGGCCTTCCCAACTGTCCCTCCAGACCAGACTCTCCTTGAGCCTGAACCCCCTCTTCCAGCAGATGGGCACCCCAGCTGCTGGGGATAGGTTGCCCAGCACCCAGCTCAGGTCAGGTACTCAGTGAATGAGTAAGCAACCCTGTCCGGCCCAGACCGCAGCTGCTGGACTTACTGATGACTCAGATATTACTGTGACATCCTCACCTGGCTTAAAGCAGGGTCTCTGCAGAGTCATCTAGGCACACGGGTGACAGGGTGCCCAGTCGTCACCCTCACCTCCTTGGCCTCGCCATCCCCTGCTTCATTAGCTAGCTACAGCCCCCTCGGTTCCCTTTCTTAACGGCTGCTGCGTTCTGAGCAGGAGGAGCATTGGAACAAGCTTTGTGCAATTACCGCCCACCCCCACCAGCCAGGATCACGGTGCCTGGGAGATTAGTGTCAGGAGATTTGCTGGGTAATGGGTTCTGGGCAGTAGGACACGGGCCCTCAGCTGGGACGTGATTATGCAGGTTACACTTCCATGGGCCCAGACACAGCCACTTGGCAAGCAGGTGTCTGCCCGGGGGTGGGCATTCCATGGAATCTTCTTCACTTCCCGTAAATAAATATGACACGAGATGGTATTTTTTCCCTTTTTCCCTTTCTTTTCTTTCCGTTAGCAAACACTGCAGACCCTCGTGAGTCACAAAAGCTTTGTGATATTACACGGGAATATAGGAGGGGAAACTCCATATTTCCGCCTGTCAAAGGTTTGGTTTTCTTATTTATTTACTAGCGTGCCACTGGGTAAATTGAACCCTGAACAATATTAAAAGGAAATAAACATATCTCTCAGTTGCTCACGGACCCAGCACTCGCCAGGGAGCTGGGCTGGCGACAAGCCTGTCAGGAAGGGGACAAAGTCACAGCTGGGAGGGGGTGGTGGAAAGGGCTCCTGGAGACAGCCCCTCCTCACCACCCACCTGCAAGACTCACTGCGGACACGGACACACGAGGCCACACAGCGTCCTCTACCGATCCCAGGTGGCAGGACAGTTCTAGATCCTCCCAGTCGGTTACTACACACACACACACACACACACACACACACACACACGCACGCACGCACGCACGCACGCACGCACGCACGCACGCGCACACACACACACACACACACACACACACACACACACACAAATATACAAAGAGCTGTGGAGAAAGGGAGGATCCTCTCCCACCAGGCCCCCCTCACCCTGAAAAATCTTGATTGGAAAGGTGTGTTTAAATTTGCTGACTCGGGGCCACTGAATTGGGGCTCGGCGGGTAAAGGCGCTTGCCGCCAAGCCTGATGACCCGGGTTCAAGCATCGTTCCCCCACGTGGTGGAAGGAAAAAAATGGCTCCTGAAGTTGTCCTCCGGTCCCCACACAAAGGTCACGGCGTGTGCACACACACTGGGTAAATAATTTAAATATGTAATAAATTAAACTAAGCCTGCTGAGTTAGAGCTGGCTTGGGGGATGTCTGTACCGGTGTAGTAGCTTGCCTTGTCTCCTCTCGCCTCCTACAGAGGGGCCCGTTGAAAATGCAGTCTCACCTGAGTAGTGTGACCCCCCCCCCCATCTGTGCCTAGTTCCTAAAATGAAGAGAGCTGGGCCCTGTCCCCAACTGCCCACCTGTGGGGTGAAGGCGAAGGCCTGTGCAAGAACTCTCTGAACAGCGGGGGAGGTGGCAGACGATGGGCCCAGGTCTCCTCTGTGGGACTAGGACAGAGAACTCCACAGGGTCCACAGGGTATCTTTAGACTACACTGGCTCCAGGGGTCTGAAATCCTAGGATTCGCTCAGAAGAGGAGACCCAGTGGCCAATCTGGGCATGGTCAGGGAGACGGGGCCCAGAAGACAGAGCCCAGCTGGGGAACTGGAGGGCGGAGAGAATGCAGAACCCAATCCAGCAAGGCCTGCCTCCACGGTGATGCCCACAGCCACCCCGCAGGTCCTCCGTGACCCCACCTGTCCCCGCTGCCGGTGTCCTGCCCATCCCCCAGCACGACCACAGCAGGTGGTGATTACAGACATGTCAGTGAAGTTGGGGGTTGGGGGGCAGTTAGGAAAGTGGGATATGGCTCAGCCATGTCATGGTAAGAACCCAGGGCACATGGTGCTGGTGGTGAGTACAGGCTCTAGAGCCGTCCTGCCCAGGTTTCCATCTCAGAGCTGGCACTCAGAAGCTGTGTGACCCAACCTCCAGCCCCATCTGGCCTGGGTTTCCTCATTTGCCAAAACAGAGGCATCGAGTCTGGTGGGCACACATCTTTAATCTCAGCACTGGGGAAACAGAGACAGGCAGATCTCTGTGATCTACATAGTGTGTTCCAGGACAGCCAGAGCTACATAATTAGACCATGTCTTAAAATCAAACAAACTAAAAAAAAAGGGGGGGACCGCTGGAGAGATGGCTCAGTGGTTAAGAGCATTGGTGGCTCCTCCAGAGGTCCTGAGTTCAATTCCCAGAAACCACATGGTGGCTCACAACCATCTATAATAAGATCTGGTGACTTCTTTTGATGTGCAGACATACATGCAGGCAAAACACTGTATACATTTAAAAAAAATTAAAAAACAAGCAAATGAAAAACAAACAAACACAAAAAACGCAGAGCTTCTGGGAGCTCCAAGCAGGTGGGTAGTCGGCAAGACTTGGAGCACGGCATCTGGTCATCATGGAAGCCCACGGGGTGTGCCCCCAAGGTCTGGGCTCCCCTCTCTGCATGGTGCTGTATGAAGAGCAGCACCAGGCAGTAGGAAGCACAGACATCTGATGGTAAAAGGGACGGAAGGACCAGATATGGTCTCCCCACTCTGGTCAGGAATGCAGACACCCAGCACTAGGCATTTGCTGGGGCCAGCCATAGCTGATGAGGTCACAGAGGCCTTTAGATCAGCACAGCTGGTTG